GTCATTATCCAAGAACCACCTCTCAAACCAAGCACAGCATCAGAACCCACAATACCCAGACAGCTCCCTGGGTCACTGGTCCCTTTCAGTCCCTGACCACCCCACAGGTTAGTAAGTTCCTGCACACAGAATTCAAAATCTCAACATCCCCCCAGGCCACTCAGCCCTGACAAGTGGAAGCCAAGCAGCACTTTACCATATGGGGAAAATCCTTCCCACGTTCCAGTGCAGGCAACCAGCTCAGCTCTCATGCCCAAAAGTGGTTGTAGCACTTGCCAGGCACAAAAATAAAGGAAAAACAAAGCAGAAAATAGGCATTCTATCCTCATTCCTCCTTTTAGTCCCACTGTTTCCAACTACTTCATCTGCCTTCTGTACTCAGACACCAAAATATTCCCACCCTTCACTAGATGATAGAACAACTGCTCTACACTCCCATCCTACAAGGAACAAACTTTTTTGGCTCCTCTTTCCACTGTTTGCATTTTTAACCTAACCACTTCTTTTTCTCCTGTTTCATTACCCTGCTTCCAAAAAAAAAAAAAGTAAAAAAAAGTTTTACAAATGATGAGGGGAAAGGTTCGATGTGTAAATCCTTCTTGGGATTTCAACAGCAATAGTCTTCCCAGAGAGAGCAGCAAGTTCCTGGGAATGAGGCAATACTACAGACAGGGATGGCTGTAATCCCAAGGACTGTACCTAAGGACTAACAGGAGTACAAAGGAACACCAACGAGTATTTGGAGCTTTCCCGCCATACAAACATCGCAATGTATTAATCAAGTTCTAGATAAAAGTATTTCAATTCCCTCCTGTCCTACTGGAAGGAGTGGGAAGCCTCATCTCCAGCCTGAGCACTGACTAATGTGTGCAGGATGATTTCCATACCTTTGTGTTCTTGTGCAAACGGTGTTTCAGCTTAAACAGTTCAAACAGTCATTTCTGCCTTCCCTGTTGGTGGGGGGGGTTAATATCAGCCAGAAAATCCACCACACACAGTACAAACACCATAAGCCAATTATTGTAATTAGAAAGAAATGTTCTTGTTAGTGACAGCTAATTTATAGCTGTTCACCCTTTTTTTCTGATATTCCTCATTCCCCTCATTTTTAATGCAGATATTTGAATAGACAGTCTACCAGTTCAGCTTGATCCTAATGTTGGTTTTCCTTCCCCTCCCCAGTCAAACACTCAGGGAGCGAGGATTAGAACATAAGGTGTTTTGCTTATTGCAAGACTGGACACAGACCTTCACACACAAACAGGAACCTGCTCAAAAAATAGCTACAAATTAGGTGATTATTTAGGTGTGGCAAGGAAGTAGCCTAGTTTTATATCCTGGGATAAAGATTGAGACCTGATAGCACATGTAAATCTAATCCCGGAGGAGGGGCCTGCACTCAGAATCACTCTGGAATCAGAATCAACACTTGGTCTGTGAAACCCTTTGCCAAGCACAGAAAACAGCCCAGTCCAAGACTTTGTACCCAGCGAGCAGAGAACCACCACCATGGGCTCCATCCACAGGGTCCAGCTGGGACTTGGGGCCAGTTCACCTGGAAACCCCTTGGAGACAGCTGCACGTTTGCTTGGGACTCTGGCTCAGGGATGGTTATTTAGGGACAGGGAACATTTCCAGAATCAATACTGTGATACTGTGGAAGAGATCTGATTACTAACTGTCTGTTTGTTACGTAATAAGAGCTGTTTCCTAAAGTAAAGCTTTCTGGCAGGAATGGGCTGCATCTACATCTCTAAGAGCTAATCAGTGGAGCCCCAAAGCCCAACAGCTGCTGCTGAAAACAGCCTCTGTGGTCTCTGTGCTCCGCATTGTTTACTCCCCGTAGGTCCAGTCTGCACCACAAACACTCAGGAAGCAGTGGAAGCATCTTCCACTTTTGTCCCATTTGCTTCAGCTTTGTTTTTCCAGCCTCTAATTTTTATTTCACAGAATCCCAGAATCATTTGAGTTGGAAAAGACCTCCCAGACCACTGAGTCCATCCTGTGCCCCATCTCCACCTCGACACCCAGCCCAGGGCACTGAGTGCCACAGGCAGTCATTCCTTGGACACCTCTGGGGACAGGGACTCCACCATCTCCCTGGGCAGCCCCTTCCAGTGCCTGACCACCCTTTCCAGGGAGAAATTCCTCCCGATGTCCAACCTGACCCTCCCCTGGCACAGCCCGAGGCCGTTCCCTCTCACCCAGTCCCTTGTTCCCTGGGAGAAGAGCCTGACCTGTACCTGTTTGCCCAGCTTGGCCGTGGTCTCCCACTGTCCCAAGCCCACCCAACAAGGCAGGGCCCAGAGGCTCCCAGGTGGGTGGCAGGAGCAGGGACCAGCACCCTCCTGCTCAGATCCTGCAGGAGCACACCCACAATGACACAGCTGACCTCTGGAAAAGCGCAGGTTCAAACAACCACAAGGCCAAGAACATACAGTAGATTAGTTAATCTACACACCTAGACTATCAGAGCCCTGGGTTAGACTGAGGACAGCACAGGCCATAAAAAGGGACAATGACTCCCCAGGTCCCATTGCCAGCACCAGGGTACGAGGAAGCTGTTGCTTAACTGAGCTACTTGGAAACACCAAGCCCTGTTTTGAAACCATCCACAACGAGTGGAAGGAGAAAGTCACAAACGCAAACTGATGGCAGAAAAAGCACGTTTCTCTTAAATATTTGCTAAATATTTACAGAGACTTGTGTGGAGACAAAGCAGGCAGCAGCAAGGAACCTGTAGGAGCTGTCCTTTGGGAAGCTGCTCTGCATGAGTGGCCTCTGAACTGACCACATCCAGCCAGCTCTCTGTGCTGCCATCAGTGACAGTCACCAGGAAGAAGCGGAGCTCTAGGGAAAACACTCCATTATGCAGCAAGGCCTAGCTCACAAAGTTATCATTATTGTGCTTCTGTGCCCACACATAATTAAGCAAAATGAAGTGTAAATCCACATGTACACAACCAAAGTAACACCAGAAATTACATACAAGGTGTGTGCATAATTTTACATCGTAGACGTGCCTACTCGAAACTTCCATCCAACATCAGACTAAGAAAATTGCTAATTGTCTAACGTTAAAATTAATAATATCCTGGTGGTTGCTATTATAGAAGAGTCAACACTGGACTTTGCTTTAGCTATTAACGTGTAAAGATCCTGAAACATGAGACCAACTCTTTTACCAGCTAATTGGAGTCACTGCTCATCACTGAAAATTCCTGAGGAACTGTAACTATGAATAAGGGAAGAAAATAGAAGTGTAGAAAGGAGCAGGAAGAGAAGAAAATGCAACTATTTCCAAGTGGAGCAGAGCCCCCACTTCCAGCAGCAGGTGAGAGGAGCTGCTCCTGCTCACCTGTACTCCCTGTTTACAGTAAACTGCAGAGGAAGTTCAGCAGGGAAAAAATCTGCCTGGCTTAAACCCGAGCTCTCCACACACACATTGACACCTTTTCCCACGGTATCAGGCTTACAACCATTTACTGATAGCTTAGTAGAGATAACAACTCAAAAAATTTAGGCCTTGCTACACTCTCACCCAGCAATGGTCCCATGACTACGTTCCGTGCAAGTAGTAAGTTACTTTCATTTTCCAAAGTTCTGTGTAACTGCAGATACGCCATTTTTTTGCCCAGAATTCACATTTTTCCAATAATAGGAGATGCTGTTTCTATCCCCTCCATCCAAGAAAGAAAATACAGTGAAAGAATTCTGCAACCCCCCTTATTTGTTATATATAGATACCTAGAGGTGCTCAGGCAGCTGTCCATGGACAGGGAGACTCTGGGCTGGGTCGCTGTCTGTGGGACATTCTCAGGGAGCACAGGGACCACGCGCACACGGGACAGCTGCCAGGGGCTCTACACCACTTCCACAAAACTGCCACACACTCCTTTTTTTGGTCATTTCTTTTCCAACCAAAAGCTTAAATAAAACAGTGGGAGGAGGCTGGGAGCCCTTGGGAGTGAAAGCTGCTGTGTAAGATCATGGAACCACAGGATGGTTGGGTTGGAAGGGATCTTAAAGCCCATCCAGTTCCACCCCTGCCATGGGCAGGGACACCTTCCACCAGCCCAGGTTGCTCCAAGCCCCGTCCAACCTGGCCTTGGACACTTCCAGGGATCCAGGGGCAGCCACAGCTTCTCTGGGCAACCTGTGCCAGGGCCTCAACACCCACAAACTGGGGAGGAATTTCTCCCCAACATCCCACCTACCCGCGCTGTTCTGCGAGCCTTACACACAGAATCATAAAACCCCAGACTGGTTTGGGTGGGAAGGGACCTTAAAGATGCTGCCGTCCCACGCCCTGCCACGGGCAGGGACACCTTTCCCTAGCCCAGGTTGCTCAAGCCCCGTCCAGCCTGGCCTGGGCCCTCCGCGGGCCGGGGCAGCTGCCGGGCCGGCAGGGCGAGGAGCGGAGCGGAGGCAGGAGGGATGCGGCTCATCTGCACTCACAATAAAGGCACCCCCG